TCCGCCCCGCAGGCGGCCGTGCGGGACCGCCAGGCTGCGGCGCCCCGTGCCCAGGGCCTTGGAAGCGGACACGGCCTCGAATTGTCCAAACGACCCTCAGGACAGGCTCGGGCCACGCAGCTTGGGGCGGAAATCACGCGCACTCGGAGCGCACAGGGCCTGTGGCCTCCCTACGCCGGACTTAGGAAAGGAGCGAGGGCCCCGGACACGGCCGCACACCCGCCCCGGCCCTGGCATGGGTGCTTTGGGACTGCGTGCCTAACCCCGCACCAAAGATCTAGTCGCCGACGTGGGTCCCCTGGGGTCGAGTGGGTCAAACTGTCAAGATCCTAGCCACCGTACCTCCTCCACCCTCGCGCCTGTCCTGCGCTTCTCTTCCGGCGCGGGCCACATCCGGCTTGTCTCTACTCTAGACCTCCTGTAGTTTTGTCCCTAAAGGCCTTGCAGGCACCCTGGAGAGGACGCGACCGGTGCGAGCCCGGGAGGGCAGTTCCTGCATGGCCAGGGGCCTCCCGTTGAAGATCTGAGCAGCGCTAGTTCTGTGAAGCTGTTAAAATCTAAAGACAACACCGTTGTTTTATTTGATCTGGTGTTTGTGGGTCATTTTTCGCAAATGTTGGAGAGAGGGATCTCACCAACGGCAACCGCCAAGCTTTTGTTGGCAGTTCCAGGTCTACTGTGACACCCCTGTGTGTTTCTCTCAACTGACCCTGAGCAAAACAGGTGCAATGAGCCACTATTTCCCGTGAGGTGGTTCGGAGGGAGTTCATCGCTTGACTTTCCCTAACTCATTCGATAATAACTAAACCCAAACACTTTATATCTTACCCCTATTTCTATCTACCTCCGATTTTCCACCTCAAAACAGCAGGTCTCACGAGATTCTGCTTCCCTGGCTTCAACTCCATTTACCCCTGTGGTCCAGTCATCTGGAATGCCTTTTTCATCGGGGAAACCTTGATGGCCAGCTGGCACTTGCCCGAGGACGCTAGCTACTAGCTAATGCTATCCCTCTTACCTTATTACCCCCCCATGCAAATGTAACACCACCCTTTGCTTAAATCCCTACCTGGAGTGGCCCTCAAGGACCTCCACAGTCCAAGCATCCAACCCAACATTCTCTTCCTTCCCCCCACAGACTCTGACAGTACTGCACTAACTCCAAATCCCACTCCTTCACAAGTCACACAGGGCACTTTCTGCCCCAGATGACAGAGAGCCCTGTCTGCACTAGCTCAAACTAACAACAACAACAAAAATCAGAAACAAAAAGCTTGGGGAATGTCAGCTTCAGGTCTGGAACTTGACCCCAGACTCTTTAAGGGATTGTAGGTCCCAGCTTTGCTTTATTTCAAGACTGCTGCCCTTTCAGGACCACGGGAGGCTCTAGCAGACCCAGGCTCCCAACTCTGTTTCCAGAACAAACCTAGCCTCTCTCTGCCAACTACTCAGGCAAGCCTCAGGCCTGGCTTCCTTCCTCCTGGCTCTTTGTCAGTCCTAACCACTCTAACCCATAGGGGCTGGCTCCCTCTCTTGACTACTTTCTCACCTTTCACAGGGTGGGCACTCCTAGGTCCAATACCCTCACAAGGGATGAAAGGTGACCCGGGCACCATTTCTCTATAAAATTTGCTGCTATCCCACGTGTCTGTGGCATTCTTTTGGAAGTACACAGACGAGCAAGCATAGGCCTCCTCTGCTTGTATTTTCCTCCATAAAGCTCTTGGGATTTCCATCTTTGCACCAGCCTGCATCCCAGGTTAAGACTTGATACCATGGTCGCCTTGGCGTCACAGGTCGCTGGCGTCACAGGATGGCCAGCCTCTTTCCTTCATCCTCTAGTCTCTGAAGACTTCAATGTCCTCCCCATTCTGGAGGAAGCATCCCACCTTCTTTCCTGAGGACTTTTGAGGGTGGAAGGGTTTCTAGGGAGGGGAAAAGGGAAGGTACCTGTGGGGGAGTTACATACAGGGGAGCATGTCAAGCCCACTAATCACATTAAACCTCCTCCCTCTGTGGTGACAGAATAGGGGTACCATCTGAAGCAGCTGGAGCCCCTTGGCCAACAGCTGGGGAGGCTGTGCCAAGAACTCAGGCAGAATGGAGGAGCAGATCTTCCTCGTGCTAGACACCAACGTAACACTGTTTATCCAAGCACATGCTCCAAACATCCCCTAACTCCCTCCAAGTGAAGTAAAAACGGTTCCCCTGGCCCTGGCAACCAAGAGAGTCCTGACTAGGACACGCCACCAGCGCAGTGTCGCACGTGCCCCTGTAAAACAGTAACTGCCATCGTCATAACTCATCCGCTAACTGTCAAGCAGGGTACCATTGACTCCCAACCTCTCCCCTCTGCCGGCGGCTGCCTACTCCTTTGTCCTTGCCACACTCAGGATCTACGGAAAGCGGAGCCTGCCTGTCTTTTGAAAACAGCGCCAAGTCATGAATATTCCGCTAGGCAGCATGTCCTTGCCACTCTGCCCCAACCACCCCTGCCTGGATCATCAGCCAGCAGCCCATGATCACCTTGTCAATCTCAGCTCCGGAGCAAAAAGCCTGCAAATGTTTGCACAGCCTCCTTTGTCCGTGAACTTACAGAGACTGTTTTCTGTGGGTTTGTGCCCCCCCTTACAGAGACACTGCTATGGGGGGGCCTCATCTAGGGCAGGGCCTGAGCTAACAAATGACCTTGCAGGGGGTGAGGATGTCTTCCTTAGGGAGAGGGACAGGCTGCTTTATTTGAGTCGGTTTCGACCTTGCAAAATGCTGGATGGCCCACAATTCTGCCTTACAGTCAAATTTATCCACCCTACAAGATATTTCTGTGCTGCCCACCAAAATGTTCAGATGAGCAGAATTATTTCAAAATTCTCCTCACCGTGGGTTTTGTTTTTCTGGTTAGAACAAGAATGTCCATCTCCTACAGGAATTTGGAGAAATAAAAGTGCTTAAAAATAAAGGTTAAGATAGAGATTATTCAGGATAGATTGCTGTCGATTCATATAGCAGAGAGCATCAGACTGACTGACATTTATATTAAAACGGAAATTGTCCTGTCTCCCCCAACATCGACAATCCCAGCACGTTGGAGACAGAAACATCTTGGGAAAGGTTAAAGGTCCTTTCTTAGGTGCCTGCAGCGCTGCCCTGCTCACACAGGCTCGTGTTGTAGACAGGCAGTCCTCTCCCTGCTCTGGGGTGGTCTGCTCTCATTTATGCATGCATGACTCTTCTTCCTTACCACCAGCTGTGATCCCTTCCCCCACCTCAACAGGCTTATTATAAAAAACCCCTTCCCACTCCTGAGAGCAACTGAGGGTGAACTCATTTTCCCATCTATCTGGGTGAAATTTAATTAGAAAGTCAAATCTGCAAGAACAGAGCACAAAATAACCACATTAAATAAAAATAAAAAGAGAGCTCTGAATCTGACCTTGAGTCAAAAGAAAGAAAAAAAAATCATAAAAAAATTAGAGTAATTCAATGAATCATAGATCTAAATATTCATTTTTGTCCTCTAAACTCTCGGCCCAACAGAATGATGTTTCTAAGGACAAAAGAAACAAGCATTAGAGGAACTCACACAAATCACAGAAATCCTAAAAGGACAAGGGCTGTGCAATCCTTTTATCTAAAACAGTGCCTAGAACATAGTAAGCCATTTCTAAATGCTGGGTGAGTGGCCAGATGGACCAAGAGTCCAGCCTTCTCAGTTTGCAATAAGAAGTAAACTAGAAAGGAGAGGCGATGAGGGCCCCCGTTGATGGTGGCATGAACTACAGCCACTGGAGTTGAGGGCCCATGGGAAAGAAGGGTCCGGAGAAGAACTACAGTCTTTCCTTTAGGACCCAGAGTAGAAAGATGGAAGCTAAAATGTTGTGATCTAGCTGCCCTCACTCCCCAAGACTGCTGGCGGAACTTCCTTGTGTTCCTGTAATTGACAAGAATGTTTGTGTTCTTTCTGGCTGGAGGCTTTCCACAGAAGCAGTAGAGGTATAAAAGACTTAAGCTCAGGGCAAAA